GTTCCCAGCCTCCAAGAAGGTGAGAAAAGTCTTGGAGTTCCCAGCCTCCAAGAAGGTGGGGGGAAAAAAATTCTACTTAAGCCACCTCACCTATGATATTTTTGTTATAGCGACCCAATCCAACATTTGCTAAACAAATGTTAAGACATTTGCTTAAAAACCAAAACAAACAATTTAAAAAAAATTAAAAAAAAAAAAAAAAAAAAAGGGGCGCCTGGGTGGCGCAGTCGGTTAAGCGTCCGACTTCAGCCAGGTCACGATCTCGCGGTCCGTGATTTCGAGCCCCGCGTCAGGCTCTGGGCTGATGGCTCGGAGCCTGGAGCCTGTTTCCGATTCTGTGTCTCCCTCTCTCTCTGCCCCTCCCCCGTTCATGCTCCGTCTCTCTCTGTCTCAAAAATAAAAATAAAAAACGTTGAAAAAAAAAAATTTAAAAAAAAAAAACCCAAAACAAAGAAACAAACCCTACGTAAGTTACCTAATTAACCAAACTGTCATTTTAGGGTTTTTTTAGGTCACTTTTCCTGGATCAAAGTTTTTCTCCAATGCAAAATATGACCATTTTTCTGCTCTATCTGTTGCCTTTGTTAAAAAATATATATCAAAACCTCGGGGCAGGGTTTCACAAATATGATGTTTCTAAAATGCAGACTATCAGGCCTTTTTCCTGGAAATTTTCTTTCACTAGATGTGAGTTGGTGCCTGGAAATCTCCCCTTTTAAAAACAAGTTCCCCAGGGGATTCCTAGCTTCTGGCAAGTTGAGGACACATTGCTCTCGGAGAAAAGTTAAACAGGAGGAAGATTAAACACCTTCTACCGCTGTTAGCAACCCCTAGCGCATTCGAGTATTTACTCACATTCTGGAACTTATTGTCTACGCCTATATTTCTTGGGCACACGATTTTAAAAAGCGAATGCACCTGGGCATTACCAAACCCACAACACACCCCCAGTGCACACGCCGTGATCTTTGCTCCTTTGCAAAGTCCTCTGAGAGTCACAGAGTTCACCCTGTCCCTCCCACAGCTCCCTCTTCCTTCATTCCTCGTTCCTGTCTCTGTTTGTTTAAGGGCAGTGTGGGAAGTGTGTGCGCTGTTCAGAGTGAGAGTCAGTCTTACGACCATGTTTTTCCTGACTCCAGTCCTGGTAGCAGTTGTCTGCATTTTGATCGTGTGGATCTTTAAGAATGGTGATGGCAGCAGCAAGACACGGAAGGGGGAGCCCAGAGCCAGGGCCGAGGTTCGTCCCTGGGTGGATGAGGACCTAAAAGACAATACTGATCTCCACCAAGGGGAAGAAGGTAAGGACACTGGCCAGGCTACTGAGCTTCTCCCGTTTGCGTTTTTCTGATGAGCAGGGCTTCTGGGGAGGAGGAAACACGTGCGGGTCAGTTTCATCATCAGCCTCTACTATGTCATCAGAGACAGATCATTTCTCTCAGGGGACACCTGCTGGCACCAACCCACCCTTGATTTCTGGATCAAGAGTCAGTAAAGAGCTGTTGAGAGGCTGACATTTTCCCTAGCTCCATTCCTGCTCTGGCTGTTAAAATCTTGGCCAAGGGGCACATCACTGGCTGGTGGTGGCTATGGGGAAAGGGGTCGTGGTTTTGTTTTTTTTTTTTTAAT